AGAGCTGGGTGGAGCAAGTTACTGTAAAGCGGAGTTTCAGCTTGGGAAAATTAACATAGTTTCAAGGTCGGGTAGTGATCATGAGTGCCCAACAGTGAGCATGGGCTTGCTGCTGCTGACTCTGCTTAGAAATGGTAAAAAATGGCCAGAGTGGCCCAGGCCTATAATCCTAACACAGGATCAAGGCAGGTTTGGGGTCAGTATGGTCTATATTATCAAGGCTTAGGCTATCCAGGGTTACATGGCGGAAACTGTCTCAAACAAACAGATGAAGGTCAATTTTATGCTACATATATTTTATTATAATAAAGCATGACTGTTATTAGGGTACTAAAAACAGGACACTTTCTAAGACACCTGTGTTTAAACAGGTGTTTAACATTGCTGACTCGGTTGGAAACAGCTTGACTCAGAACAGCGTGTGAAATATTTTAAGAGGGGAAAAAGCCAGGTGGAGCGGTATACCCCTGTAATCCCAGCGCTCTGGAGGCTAAGGCAGGAGAATCTTGAGTTGGACACCAGTCTGGGCTACAGAAACACAAAAAGAAAAGATTAAAAGGAGGTCAGTTCCATCTATATGCTCAAAATGTCTCTAGGACGACAACAGCCACCACCTAAAATTTGGTTCTGTGGTGGGTGGGGGAGAGACAGGGTGGGATGGTTAACTGTTGAAAAATGGGAGACATTTTTTCACTAAACTCTTGTATACCTGTATCTTGACCATGTACATTGCCCAGCCAGGAAGATAATGATTATTTTTAGTGTGTCCAGTTCCCAGTGGCCCCCTCGAGAGGCCAACGTCTTGCTCCAGTGGCACTGTGTGATTTGGAGAGCTTCTCTTTTAGCTGCCTTCCAGGCCCCAGGGTGTTATTTCGCTGTCTTCCATGAGCATATCCTCAGGAGTGGAACTGCATTTTGGAAATAGTCCCAACTGGTTTGAAGCCAAGTCTGGTAGTTGTTGATTTTGACTAGTGATGATGCAATTTATCTATTTGTTTTCTGCCTCATTTCACTAAGAAACTGAGGGGGCCTAGAGCTGGTCTGAATGCCAATTCCCTTACGTGTGTTCGGGATGACTCGAGAGGCCCCAGACGCTGTCCATTCGGCAGCGTCCCAGAAAGGAATGTGCAGTGTCCTGTCACTCCCCTCTTTCTTTGGGCTGTGGATGACTGGAACCAACATCAAGGGCCTTTAGTGGAAAAGGAGTGTGTCGATCCAAGCGGAGGGTAAAGCCTGAGAGCACTGAGTACGGACAACTGCACCCAGGTTAGCAGCGTCTCCTTCCTGGCTTTCCAAGCCTAACATGTAGACAGCTCCCCGCCCTAACCGAGGGCAGGAAACAAGGTCACCACGAGGGGCCATTTTAGCTAAACCCGTTCCATTCATGAATCGCAGAGGAGATCTTTGATTGTCCCTCTATTCAGGCTCCATATCCCTTGAGCCAGTTCTCACTCTTGGGAGAGGCAATAAGACTGGCTGGGATCAGAGTCACATAGCTATAGCTACTCTTTGTGCTGGTGAGAAGAGGCGTGACGTCATCAAAGTGAAGGAAAGGGCAAAAAAAAAAAAAAGCCTGTAGACTATGTTAAGGGACAATGCCAGCTGAAGATGCTGCTTGGGGTGTGTTAAGGATCCATACAGCCTCCGGAATCCTCTAGAAGCATACGATCTAGACTGGGAGCTGAGACCCAAAAATAACTAGAACATAACAGCTTGCACTGACTTGAAGGTTGGATAAGAATATCTGGAACTCCTCATCCATCTCAGAAGCTTGTCTCGGGGATAAAAATTAGACGCTCATCGTGAAAGGCTTTGAAAAGACAGCAAGCAGGAACAAGTCCTTTACCGTTCACCTGCTGTAGTCACATCCAGTCTGGGCCCAGAGCCTACATAGACCCTCACTGTGCTGAGCTACAAAAATGGGATTTACGTCAGTCCGTGCTTCGTGAGGGTGTTGGAGAACTGGGGGGTCGTAGGTGTGGCATGCTCAGCAGGGATCGGCACATATGAGGCATTGCTGTTATTATTGTTGGGAGCTTTATTTGTCTCCTGGGCCTGTTCAGATGACCCTTGCACAGTCATGCGAGGCTGCCTGTCCCCATTCTGACTAGGGACACCGAGGGTTAGGGAGGTAAAGGGCATGCTTTCTAGTAACTCTTTCCGACCAGCCCCGGGCAAGACGACGGCTCCTCACCCAGTACTCTGTTTCCAGGGTTCAAGCTATGGGCTGCTGATCTAGTGTTCTGTTTCTAGGGTTTGCATTCCGCAAGGCTCAGTCCTAAGAGAGACCTGTTGAGGGCAGGGAAAGTGAAGAGCCACAGAAATGTGCTTGGAGAAATGCAGATGTCTGAGGGTCGGTGAGTGCCCTGTGCCGTGTGGAGTGGGAATGGAAGGGAAAGCACAAGCCCACTTCAGGGCTTCATTTCTGCTGGCATTCTGGAGTGACTGAAGCTTGTCCCCCCTGCCCCCAGCCTTCCTTGACACCTGTATCTCCTCAGGTGCCTGGCCCCTAGTCCCCAGAATCCCTCTCCTGTACCTTGCTTCCTAGCCCATGCGTTCATCCTCCTCTATAAATACCAGCTCTGGTATTTCAGCTTGGCAGCTGTTGCTGCCAGGGAGATGGCTGGGTTGACATGTGCCTCCTGACAAAACACAAACCCCTGGTGCGAGTGGGTGTGGGGGGTGTGAGTAGGGGGATGAATCAGAGAAGGGGGTGAGGGAGACAGGGACTGGGGGAGTCAGGCAAAGGCAGTGCCGGGCGGGGAGGGGGGGCGGGGTGTGTGATGGAAGCAGTAATCAGAATCGTTCTGGAAATTATCTTGCTGGCTATAAACTTGAGGGAAACAGGAGGCCTACATTCCTCCAGAGGGACACTGAGGCTCGGGAGCTAGAGCCCAGGCGTCAATGGTATGCATAAGCAGGCAGGCACTGGCCTGGGTAACTCTCTGCCCAATGTGTGCCCCCCTCTACCCTACAGGCCTGCCTAGAGACCCCTTTGATAGGCTAGTAGACTCCAGTCTGGCCTTTACCCCTGGTGGTTGGAAACTTCAGCATTTTCTAGGCAATCTTTGCAAATAAAATACTTCAGGGTTCCTTCTTGTTCATCCTAATGGCCTAAAAAAAAATCTCTTCTTGGAGGAAATAGGCGGCCTCAAACAAGTGAAAAATCTCTAGCCAGCTTTCCCGAGGACAAGGCAGGCCTCCAAATGGAAAAAGAGGCCGGCCTGGGGTCTCCTGTCAGCGAGCTGCCCTGTGAAACCCAGCAGGCCTGCCTGTCTTCAGTCCTCTTGGGGCAGATCAGGGGCGCAGGCCTCCTGCAGGGGAGCTGGCCTCCCCGCCCCCTCGCTTGCGGCCGCCCTTTCCTGGCAGGACAGAGGGATCCTGCAGCTGTCAGGGGAGGGGCGGCGGGGGGGGGGTGATGTCAGGAGGGCTACAAATAGTGCGGACGGCTAAGGGGCTCTGTCTCCCCTCTTCACATCCACTCTCCAGCCGGCTGCCTGCCCGCTGCCTCCTCCGTGCGTCCGCCCAGCCTCGTCCACGCCGCCACCATGAGCCAGGCCTACTCGTCCAGCCAGCGGGTGTCCTCCTACCGCCGCACCTTCGGTGGCGCCCCGAGCTTCTCGCTCGGCTCCCCACTGAGCTCTCCAGTGTTCCCTCGAGCAGGCTTCGGCACCAAGGGCTCCTCGAGCTCGATGACATCCCGCGTGTACCAGGTGTCGCGCACGTCGGGCGGGGCCGGGGGCCTGGGGTCGCTGCGGGCCAGCCGGCTGGGGACCACCCGCGCGCCCTCCTACGGCGCGGGCGAGCTGCTGGACTTCTCGCTGGCCGACGCGGTGAACCAGGAGTTCCTGGCCACGCGCACCAACGAGAAGGTGGAGCTGCAAGAGCTCAATGACCGCTTCGCCAACTACATCGAGAAAGTGCGCTTCTTGGAGCAGCAGAACGCCGCGCTCGCCGCCGAGGTCAACCGGCTCAAGGGCCGCGAGCCGACTCGGGTCGCCGAGCTCTACGAGGAGGAGATGCGCGAGCTGCGGCGCCAGGTGGAGGTGCTCACCAACCAGAGGGCCCGGGTCGACGTGGAGCGTGACAATCTGATCGACGACCTGCAGCGCCTCAAGGCCAAGTGAGGGCCCAGCGCCTTTCAGATCTTTCCCCCCCTTCACCCCATCCCCCTGCCGGGAACTAGGCACCCCCTCCCGGAGCCTGGGACCCTCCTCATCCCATATCTGGAGAAGGTCATTCCATGGGTGTTCCCTAGGAAGAGGTGGACCCCGGATCTTTCCGTGGCTCCTTCTCTATAACACTGGAGTGGTTTGCTTGGGGAGGTAGACAGAGAGAAGAAATGGGGGGGGGCGGGGGGGGGGCGCCTGGGGCGGCCTAGTGCATGCCGAGCAGCCGCCTTTGAAGGGATTCTAAGTTGCTGGAGTAGCGGTGCTGTGCCGACCAGAACAGAGGCAAGGTAGAGGGCCAGAGCATGGTCAGAGGGAGAAGAGGCTGGTGGGAGCCCGCAAAGCTGGGTGGGCTGGGAAGGGCTGGAGGAGGGAAGCAAACTTTCAGCTCTGCTGTGCTGAGGTCCTGGGGAGCGGGGGAGGGGGGGGGGGGGGGGGAAGAGGTAGCTTGGTCCCTGGGCCTAGCTGAGGTAATGAATGCTATTATTGCACTAGGTAAACGATTAGGCTTGAGGAAAGGGGACAGTGGACAAGGGCTGTGGCCCCTTTTAAAGCTCAAGAAGGCCGGCCCATTCCACCATGATCCAATAGGAAAAGGCCGAGTAATGCCGCTATGGGGGCACGCCCCCCTGCAGTTCCTTGGGAGGATGATTCAGGAGGATTGCCATGTGAGTCTTAGGCAAATCTGGGATACAAAGCAGGTACCAAGCCAACTGAGCCTGCATAGCAAGACTTGTGTTTAGACAACTAAAAATAAATAAATAAAAGATAGAAAAGGCTCTGTACGTTCACGGTCCTGCTTCTGTTACCCAACTGAGCGGAGTCACCTTCTTGCCACCAAAGTCACAAACATTTATTTAACTAACAGCCACATGGTCAGGCTAGGCCTGAGAACACTGAGGTGGATAAAATAAAACACAGTTCCTAACCCCGGGGAGGTCAAGCTATTTGGGACATAGACTTCAAGGGTGTGGCTCCAGGGTTGAGACCCAGCCACTTCCTGTCCCCCCCCCTCCCGTGGGAGGGGCCTCTGCTATTTTTTTTCCCCCAGGCCTCTTGTTTCTACCTAGCAACCGGGCCTTGTCCCTGTGTCCTGAGCTGGCTCCCTGATAGGTCCCAGGCAGTGGTTTCCATTGACAGCTCTATCCCTCACTATTTGTCTGTCTGTCTGCCCTGCCTAGGCTGCAGGAGGAAATCCAACTGAGGGAAGAAGCAGAGAACAATCTGGCTGCCTTCCGAGCGGTGAGCCCTCTCTGGTCCCCGACAGGCATCCCTCTCTTTTCTCCCCCTTGGCTCCACTTGAGCTGTTCCAGACCCCAATGTTGTTGTTTCCCCGTGTATCCAGGATGTAGATGCAGCCACGCTAGCTCGCATCGACCTGGAGCGCCGAATCGAGTCACTCAATGAGGAAATCGCGTTCCTTAAGAAAGTGCACGAAGAGGTACACCAGGGCCCTTGGGGATTGGAGAAAGCAGCTAGAAAAGGGGCTGACTCTGAAATGGGGGAGCGGAGGTGTTCTGGCAGGGACTGGAAGGGGACTGAAACCCAGCTGTGTCCTTCAGGAGATCCGTGAGCTTCAGGCCCAGCTTCAGGAACAGCAGGTCCAGGTGGAGATGGACATGTCCAAGCCAGACCTCACAGCGGCCCTCAGGGACATCCGGGCTCAGTACGAGACCATCGCGGCTAAGAACATCTCTGAAGCTGAAGAGTGGTACAAGTCCAAGGTAGGTGCTCTGGCCGAGGGGCTCTGGCCCCCGTCCTCTGTCTCCATGTGAGGTGCTTCCCGGACCTGCATCCGTGGAGTAGGGTGAGCCTGGAACTTCCACACTCCCTTGCCCACACTGCATCCTGCCTGCTTCTCTCCATCTCTGCCCTCAGGTTTCAGACTTGACCCAGGCAGCCAACAAGAACAATGATGCACTGCGCCAGGCCAAGCAGGAGATGATGGAGTACCGGCATCAGATCCAGTCCTACACCTGCGAGATTGATGCCCTCAAGGGCACCGTGAGTCCCTCCCCATGCCCACAAGCTCGGCCTCTTTCTGCCCACAGCTCAGTTCCGCACCCTCCTCCCTCTGTGACACTTTGAGCCCATTACAGACCCTCTGGGGCCTCCATCTCCTCAAAGGAGGTACAGGGAGGTAAAGGCAGACGGGTGGATTCCTAGTTGGATACTAAGGAATCAGAGGACTCCCGGGGGTGTCTCCCTGTGTAGGGTTGGAGGGCTAGTATAGACGCTCCTTATTAGGTGGTTTGTTCTGAATGACCACATAAGACTTCTCAGGGTTCCATAGCTAAGGAAGAGGGCTTTGATGATTCTTCTACCTGACCATGACCATGAGGAGTTGCCTCCAACACTGGGTTTCTTCCCACCCTGATTCTCTGGTGCTCTCCTTCCTAGCTCTGCTCTGGGACTGTCCTTGACTTGGGCCCCCTCATCCCCTGCAGAATGACTCCCTGATGAGGCAGATGAGGGAGCTGGAGGATCGCTTCGCCAGCGAGGCCAGTGGCTATCAGGATAACATTGCGCGCCTGGAGGAGGAGATCCGGCATCTGAAGGATGAGATGGCCCGCCACCTGCGGGAGTACCAAGACCTGCTCAATGTGAAGATGGCCTTGGATGTGGAGATTGCCACCTACCGGAAACTGCTGGAGGGCGAGGAGAGCCGGTGAGGACTTAGGTAGGGTAGGTAGGGGAGGGTGCTGGGAGCCCAGTCCGTCACAAGATGATCTCAGCAAGACCTGAAAACAGTCCTAGACGAGAGGCCACTATTCTGCCCATCGCGGAAAATTAACCAGGGCCACCTGGGTAAAGCGAGATGTAATTAACAGCTTTTTATAAAGAAGAGAAATGTAAGTATTCCCTTATCTACCTTTAGAATTAAGAACCCGCAGCATAAAATCATATTCGGCAATCAGTAATAAAATATTACTGCCAGTCCAGGGAGAGATGAAAGCCGAGTGGAAAATGATGAGGAAGAAAAGGGAGGGGGCCTGCTGGAGACAGACAGACATGAAGAGGCAGGAAGCCTTGTGCATGGAAGGTCTCAGAGAGGGGAGGCTACAGTGAGTGTACACACAAGCACACACAAAGGAAAAGACACAGATGATGTGCTCAAGGCAACCCGCCCAACCTCCAGACAGGAGAAACGGGAGTGCAAGGGAATCTTCTGGGAGACCGTAATTCTGTGAATCTGGATTCTTGACAGTTACATGGAGATAGATACGTCTCCAAACTTACTAGATATACCCTAAGGGTTTGCCCATTTCATTATATGTAAATTTAACATCAATTTAAGACAGATCCATTATGCCAAAAAAAATGGCATCATCAATACTCATAAAAGTGTGACAGCCATGTTTAGGTATGAACTTACAAGGAGAATTCACGGTTTTTATTTGTTTCTTTCCTTTGAGAAGGGTTTAATGTAGCCCAGCCTAGCCTCAAACTCACTATGTAGTTCAAGGATGACCTTGAACATCTGTTGCTCTTGACTCTGTTTCCTAAATGCTGGGACTTGGACAGGCTGTGCCGTCATGCCTGGTTTCTGTGGTAGCGGGGTTTGAACCACAGCCTCATGCATGCTAAGCAAGCCCTTTACCAACCCAGTTACATCACCAGCCCCTGAGTTTTGGAGAATGACATCTACCTCTAACACAACATGGATGACCTTTTAAGGTAGCTAGAGCCAGATGCCCTTTTCTAGACTAGGCATAAATGGCCCACTCCTGGATCTGGCCTGCCTGGAGGGTGGGCACCACGTGAGTGTCACTTCCTCTAGTACCAGGAGCAAGGAGGACCTGGGGACCCGGAGGGTGCAGTGGGGTTAGGCATCTTGGTGTCACGCCCGAGGTCAGGATTCGAATTCGTGATCTTTCTAGAAGGGGACAGTTCCTGGAACAGCTAGAGTTGGTTTTTGATCTGTGCATTGTGGGGTAGTGAGAGTATTGGGCTGGGGGAGGAGGCTGGGACAGTAAGGAAATGGTGGCTTCAGGGAAGAGATTTGAGTGTCCTTAACCCTCTGGGGACACGGTCTCTCGCTTTTCAGGATCAACCTTCCTATCCAGACCTTCTCTGCTCTCAACTTCCGAGGTGAGTGTGTGCTGGGTGGTAGAAGGGGGCTGCATGGGCCAGGGAGTCAGCTTGGGTAGCCCAACCCTTTTAGGGGAGAAGGATGGAACCCTGGAGCAGACCAGGCATGAAGAGAAAGAAGGTTGTAGACACAGCACCGAGGGGTGGGGGAGGGGAGGTGGGGTGTTGGTTTGTGTTTTATTGTGCTGACTACATTCCCTGTACCTTCTGGATTATTGGGTCTCAAGCATCAGGATGTGTCTGTCCTGAATGGCAAACTCTGGAAGCTGCAGGGGTGTTCCCCTGGCAGTAGGAGCATCTCACTCTCTAGGCAGGAAGGTACCCCTTGCTCATGATCTGCCTGGCATGCTGCCAGAGAGCACTTGGCACACCATTCTCTGGCTGTTTGTTGAGTGCCGTGTTTGCGGGGAGCAAGATGTTTGGATGCACGGTTGAAAAGAGGGAGCCAATTTTTTTTAGCAAAGCCAAACAATGAAGAGAATGAGCTTCGAGGGCATTCTGCCATTCTGACATTAGTAATATGCAGATCAAGTGGCTTCCCAACCCCAGAGAGCAGAAAAGCGCTCACTAATGATACATTAGGAAAGGGAGTCGGAGATCTTGGCAGCTTCTCCTTTCCTAGATCAAACCTTTTACATCTTCGATGTTCATTTCCATCAGGAAAAATACATGCTGTGCTCCATCGAGTCAAACGTTCATTACAGGCTACTTGCTTGCTAAGGGATTCATGAACGCCAAACTCCTGACACCAAGGAACTGAATGTGACCCCCACTATGAAACTCAGGCTTCTTTTTTTTTTTTTTTTTTTTTCCACTTAGTTGTTTATTCAGTTACCAAGTATGCATTTTGCATATCAAATCACTTCTGCTGCAGATCAGTAGCCCCTGTGCCACAATAAGGGAAGTATCATGGCTGCTGTTTCCCAGAGAGGAAACTGAGGCACAGTAGGGTCAGTGAAACACAATGAATCAGTGACTAGCTTTATCCATAGATAAAGAACTGGAGCCTCTACGTTCCTCCAACAGGTCCACAGGCCTGGGTTTTTGGGGCTCTCTGTCGTAGAGGAGAGTCTAAGGATACATACTCATGCAGGGCTCTTCTGGAAATCCAGAGGCAGAGAAGGCTAGGGAACATGAGTACTGGGCCTAGGCCTTGGGTCCCCTGCCATCCTGCACCAGCACTCACAACAGCATCTTTTGACTCTTGAGGACAACATCTCTTTAGCAGGACTGGATCCTGGCTCTACAGAACCACCTGCTTGCTGGGTGCTGGGCTCAAGGGTCAGGTCTTGGAGAAGTCAGAAGGTTGTCTGTCACGAGGAGGGTGCAAATCAGCTAGCACATGGGACCATGAAGCCCGGGTGGAGTTCCATCCACGGCGCAGCTTAGATATGAACTTGGCCAGGCTGAGCGTGTGTGTGTGGGGGGGTCTGTTACAGAAACCAGCCCTGAGCAAAGGGGTTCCGAAGTCCACACCAAAAAGACGGTGATGATCAAGACCATTGAGACCCGGGATGGAGAGGTGAGTGGTCTGCCGGACCCCTTGTCTTTGGTGGGAGTCGTGGGGGTGGACACCATGGTAGTCTGCCAGCCAGGTGTCTTTCACCAGCGGGGCGACTTCCTACCCTGAATGGGGGTGAGGAGGCCCTGCTGCCTTGGGGTGGAGTAAATGGAGCTGAGGCTCCCCTTAGCCAGCAATGAATGGACTGGACTTCTCCATCTGCTCAGGTCGTCAGCGAGGCCACACAGCAACAACATGAAGTGCTCTAAGCCAGACACTGTCCTGGCCCCGTCCTCACTGCCTCTTGAAGCCTGCCTCTTCCACTCTCGGAGGTCACACCCAGCTACTTCCCTCCACTCACAGCCTCTGACCCCCTCCTCACCGATCTCACCCCTTGGCGGTCTTCATGCTGCCCAGGAAATACCCCCAGCCACCTCTGCAGACCTTACCATGAGTCCTGGCTATTGGCGGGTGTCAAGCCTGGCTCTTCAAGATAGAACCCGGCTCAAGCCATGGCCCGGCCCCTCCCACCTTTGTTACCCCAGGCTCACTCTAGCCTTCGGCTTTGGAGAGGGTACCAGAGAGAGGGGGTTGGGAATCTGCAGGGTCAGGACAGAGCTTTATGGACATCCCCACATTCGACCCCCAGCCTGGGTCAGAGACAGAGGGAAGCCTTCTCAGATGAGATGGAGGGGGGGGGCCTGAAAAATGTCCGAATGACCCCTCTCTTTCCCATCCCAGTCCAGGATGGGCTTAGAAAAAAACGGGGACTGTAAAGAGGGAACAGGAAGGTGCTGGATGTGGGAGCAGGAGATACAGAAGGAGAGCGGGTGGGTGAGAAGCTGGAGGGGAAAGGAGAGAGAGAGGCAGAGTGGGCTCAGGCTGGTGGGAGGGTACCACCTCCCGCGCCTGCCCCTCCCACTGCAGGGGCCCTGGACAGAAACAATAAAGAGCCAAGCACAAACCTACATGGCCCTGCTGTCTTGACTGTTGACTCTCTTGGGGCAGGGGGGGTGGGATGGGGGGCGTGGGGCTGGACCCTGTCATTACCCTGAGATGGACTGTGCCACCCTTTTGCCCAGCTAGATTGCCCTACGGGCCTCCCAGAGCGGCAGGCTGTGTGCACCGTAGGGGAGGTTGGGTAGGGGGTTTCTGTTAGAAAGCCACAGCGCCTCCTCCTTAAGCCTCCTACCCTACCTTCCGATCATCTGGCCATCTGGGTGAAGGCAGGGATGGAGACAGTTCTCTTCCACAGACCGGCTGTGAGGGAAGCTCCCAAGTCCTTTCTCCCAAAGAAACTGCCGGCCCCTTTCATTTACTTTTTTTTTGGAGACAATATCTCATATAGCCCAGACTGGCTTCAAACTCCCTCTGTACCCAAGGTTTGACTTTAAACTCTCGATCCTTTTTCTTCAGTCTTCCAAGTACCTTTTAACCCTTTCTAAGGTGCTTTAATGCACAGAGGCCAATCCAGGCAAAAGAACAACGTTCACAAAAGTGCAGACAGAATTTTTATGTGGATAAGGAGGCTCGATCGACACTGTGAGAAAATGTCAACCCATCCTTCATCCATATGCAATTCCAATGGAATGCAGTCTCAATTAAAATACCCAAGGGAGCCACGGGAGGTGTGCCGCCTTACTCCTAGTGCTGGTACTCAAGAGGTGGAGGCCAGAAGACCTCAGGTTCAAGGCCAGCCTGGGCTACCTAGTGAGGCTCTTGTGTAAAAAACAAAAACAAATCCAAACAACATGAAAGGGTGTATAGGAATTATTAAAGAGAAGAAAAAGAAGGAAAAAAAAGAGAAACTAGAATAAAACATGTATATGTATTATGAGGCCATGATAACTTAGTACAGTGGTTCTCAACCTTCCTAATGCTGCGACCCTTTAATACAGTTCCTCATGTTGTGGTGACCCCCAAGCATAAAATTATTGTGTTGCTACTTCATAATTGTCAGTTAGCTACTGTTATGAATCGTAATGAAAATATCTAAGATACAGGATATCTGATATGAACCCCCAAGGGGGTCACGACCCACAGGTTGAGAACCCCCCAACCTAGAAAGTGATGTTAACAAAAAGGAACTGTGTAAGACATTCATGTAATAAAACAAGCCTCACATATGCATGGGACACTGGTGTACGTTTAAGGAGGCATTTCAATCTATGGATAGAAGACGTAATCGATAGTTTATAGAGACAACAGAGTAGCCCAAAGGTCTGGGGCATAAAGTTTGTCTTTCTTCCTAAAACATATTTCAGGTTAATGAAAGATTTAAGGAACATGCTAAGCCCTCGGACCTGAGGCTCCATGCTGCTCCTCCTGTATCTAAATGACGGCCCCTTAAAGGAGATGGGAGAGTATAGAAGGCAGAAAGACGATGAATACATGCAGGTTGCACGTGAATAAACCAACGAGGCTTTAGCCTTAACATCCCTACCGGCCATTCTAAAATAGCTTTCCAAAACCTTCCAGAATCCTTCCTGGTAGTGTTATCTTTCTTCCCCTTTTGGATACACCCGTTTTACCAGTTCCCCACCTTCTTGGCGCAGGCCCATTTTGAGGATCCACCCCGAGTCCCCACCGCTGCCACCTGTGACTGCTGGCCATTTCTGTCTCCCACATGCTCTAATGGAGTCAGCCTAGGGACAGCCTCTCATGGAACATGGACTAGAATGACATTAACGTCTTTACGTGGACCTAGAGCAGGAAACGTGAGCAAGGAGCTATCTTTGAGACTCAGATATGTGTTGACTTCTCTGGAGAATATCTGGGCTGAGGGCCTAGCCTTGGTGGACAAGGCTGCCACAGCAGCCTGGAAGAAGTTCCTGGAGCCTCACTGTTTCTCCTTCACCCCGAGTGAATTGTGTTCACTCATAGGCTCCACACAGGGCGGAAGGACACATAGGTCGGGGCTGGGGTAGCCTCACTGTCCTAAAATAACAGCTCAAGTACAGACTAATCCTTAGGGTGTGGGGCACTGGAGGTTCCAGACTCAGTCAGACCTCAGACAGCCCTCTTCTAGGAATCCCCTTCCCAGCCTCATCCCATCCCATCATCTGTGGCTGTTCTCTGGAGGCCCCTCCATAGGGGATGCTCTGAAGGGAAGTCTTGCCTTCACACACCTGTCTCCTGTAACTACCCTTGCCAGTCCTCAGACAGGAGGCCAGTGCTGCGCTCCACACCCAAAGGGTACATTTTGAGTAGAGCTTTTCTGAGCCTGCTCCCATGAGCTCACAGTGACCCAGGGGATGGACAAAACAAACCATAGATGATTCATGTCTCACATGGTTTTGAAACGAGTCAGCGTTTCAGTGCACCTTACCCCAATTGCTTCCACAGCAAGATCTTCCCCCGTTCCTTGAGACGCTGTGGAGCTTGCTACAAGACTGTGTACACCAAGAAGGGAACAGACCTTCCGAGGCTTCCATAACCCGAAGGCCAGGCTCAGGCTAGCTCCAATTCTCTGAGGAGGAGAGCAGGAAGAACTGTGGAGGCAGCTAGATCCCAGTGGGCACTCTCCTACCCCATCTGTCCACTCTGGCTGAACTCCAGCCCTGCCCTCTGAGGTCACTCCTTGCCATCTCATTCCTCTCTGCACAGCTCACCAGGGCACGTATGCAAATGAATCAGTGACCTTTGATTCAATACCTAAAAATGTCACTGCCCAAGGACAGTTTTTATCTGTTTTATTCACTACTATATCCCTTGCACCCCAAAGAGTACTTGGTGCGGGGTAATACTCATTAAATATTTAAATGCTTCTTGAATGAATACCCACTGGGCACGTTTATTTACTTTTCTCTATATTAAATATGCACTAGGAAGGGCTGGTGACACTCACTGCTTCACCCGTTCAATGGATATTTACTGAGAGTTCCCCTCACCCCATGAGCACATAGTATGTTATTGAGACTTGGAGGAGGAGGCTGGAGAGATGTCTCGGCAGCTGAGAACACTAGCTGCTCTTCTAGAGGACCCGGGTTCGATTCCCAGCACCCACATGGCAGCCTACAAACACCTGTAACTCTAGTCCCAAGGGATCCTGGGACTTCTTCCTGCCTCTGTAGGTATTGTATGCACGTATCCACAGATGTTCATTCACAAAACACTCATACACATAAACAAAAATAAATAAAATCTCAACAACAACAAAAAAAACCCAAAACAAAAAACAAACAGTAGCAACAACAAAACATTTGAAAAACCACTCCGAGGAGCCAGACACAATGGTTCCAAGCACTGGGGAGGTGGAGGTACACCATGAGTTTAAGACCTGACTGTTCTACATAATGAGTTCCAGGTTGACCTCTTAAAACAAACAAACAAACAAACAAAAGCAAGAACAACTTTGATGAAATGTTCTTTGGCCCAGAGAGGCGGCATGATCTGCCAAGGTCACACAGCCATCTATAGCAAAGGAAGACAGGACTGCTAGAGCCCAGAGATCTTTCCATGACACCATAGACTTGTGATCAGAAGGCAGGGCAACCTGGCAGCATGCACACCCAGCCTGGCGCCAGCATACAGGGTACTGTGGGGCCCATGCTGAGGGACAGACCAACACCTTACAGCCAGCTGTCTTGAGCAACTGGCCTGACCGCAGCCTGACCTTTTCTAGTTGTCTCAGCTGGGACAGCCTGGTCCAGGAGAGGGCGCCAGCGACTGTAGACCCTGGGGAACAAGTCCAGGTATACCTCTGAATGGACATAGAAGGCAGGAAACAAGCCGTGCTCCCGGCCCTGTGCCAGGGCCTTTTAAATAGTTAATATTCACTTTAATATTTAATATAATTTAATACCACCACAACATAGGTCAGCTCATGTAATTCTTCTCCTCAAAACCCAGAGATGCTTTCCCATTCTACTGAGAATAAAAACACCATGGCCTGCAAGATGCTAGGCCATCTTTTCAAGCTATATTTCACCCTGACTCTGTGTTCATTCCCTCCAGCCTTGCTGGCCTTCCGGCTCTTTCCAGAATCCGCCAGGCACATCCCACCTGGGTGGCAACGATCCTGCCCAGCTCTCTGCAGCCTGCCTTTCCTTCCTCATCCCTTCCAGACCGGCTCCAGTGTTGCTGTGGAGGTGACTCCAATGACCCTATATTATTTTTATTTTATTTCTTTATTTCTGAGACAGGCCTTCACTGTATATCCAAGACTGGTCTTGAATTCCCATCTTCCTGCCTAAACCTCTGGAATGCTGGGATTGCAGACATGTACCACCACAGTCTCCAGCCACCCTATTTTAAAGCGATACCCCCACCACGCTCATATCTCTCATTCCTTGCCGAGTTATCTACACACTATTTCTCTCCTCAGTCTTTACACTTTCTCTATTTGCCAAATGTCTGTCTTCTCCAATATAAGGAACCCCAGGACTGGAGTCTTTGCTTCATCCATGGCTATGTTCCTGGCCAATGGAATGGTGCCCGCCTCACAGGAAGAACTCAAGAAATATTTGCTGAAGGAACAAATACACCCCAAGTTTGACTTCCCCCACACATAGGTGAGCAAACTGAGGTTTAGAGGTGTTATGTGACTTGTTCAAGGTCACGTGGTTCATTTATTTAACCAACTAGCCAATCAGCCAATGTTTACAGACCATCTGCTGCGTTCCCTGTACGGTGAGGCATGGTGTTAGTTAAATGGCTTTGGGTGGTGAGCTTTGGGTATGTGTGCAGAGTGGGTGGCGTGCACAGGTGTACCACCAATGCATGCCTGTGTAGAGGACAGGAGTTGGTGGTAATGTCTTCTCTATTGCTCTTCACTTTATATTTTAAGACAGGATCTCTCACCGAATCTGGAATGTCCTAATTCCGGTAGGCTGGCCAGCCAGCCAGTGAGTCCCTAGGATCCACCTGTCTCTCCCTGTTAACACTGAGGTTAGAGATGTGTGTCGCCCTACTTGGGTTTTTTACCTGGCTGCTGTGGACCTGAACACCGGCCTCATGCCTGCACAATAAACACTTTCCCACTGAGCCATCCTCCTCTGACTGATTGTAAGCTTAAGAACAAAAATGAGACAGTATCTGTTCCTTTGTTCTTGGTGTTCTGTCTATTATGGCTTCTCTCTCTCTCTTTAAAAAAAACCTTTTTAGAATTCAACTTACACTGTAGAATTCAATTCATCACTGGAGGTTGCCAGGGACCGGTAGACAGGGTGTGGCTGCCTACAAAGAGGAAGCGCACGTGAATATTTAGGGTGATGGAGCTGCTTTTGTATGTTCCTGGGGTAGCAAATACACAATTTCATGCATTTGTCAAAACCCACGGACCTGCACATCACAAAGAGTCAGCTTTAATGTATGCAAACTACATGAAAAGTCATTCCCTAAGGCTCTTAATCTTTATGGACATAATTCAGTGTTAAAATTGTTTCTTCTGTACTGCACGCCTGGGAATGCATGCTCACGCTCACAAGCACCATTGCACACACGCATGCCCGCCCCTACACACACACACACACACACACACACACACAAACAAGCACACATGCACACATGCACGCTTTGACTTCAGTTTCTCAGAATGAAGATGGTTCATTTAACCAACCAAGAAGACAAGAATACTTACCCCCATCTCTGAGTGACCCTGGCTTTCAGCTCTTCCCAGGGTCCATCCTTTTAGAGTTCACAGTCAGGTCTGGATCTCTAAAAGGGCGTGTGTGTGTGTGTGTGTGTGTGTGTGTGTGTGTGTGTGTATGACTGCAAACAGAACTGAGGCGTTCAGAAATCCTATGCAAGCCCTCTAATACTGTGGTATTCCCTGGACTGTATACCTTAAATTTCTTTTGTTGTTGTTTAGAAATGTAAATTAATATGCCCTTGTCAGAAATAACACAGACAGATTCTGGACACTTCACTCGGGTTTTTCCAGGGGTGACACCTTGTATGAATATCAGGAAAGTGACATTGGCATGGCATATCCAGCTTATCAGATTTATATGCACTCTTGTTTGTATGGGTCTCCCCAGGGGTTTCTCTCTACTCTCTCTACTGGACTAGTGAGAAGAGCTTCTGCACTATTGTCCAAGAGGTCTCTGTGGGTCTCAGGCTAGACCCACTAACTACTGACCCTTGACCTCTGACCTCCATGTGGGAAGCCTCTACCTTGACACTTTCCCTGCCCTTCCCTGTTGATCTGCCCTTCCGAGTGGGCACAGCTGAGAAAATTGGGCACCTGGGAAGATGGTGAGGGGTTGCAACTTGTGTCTAGTGGCTTGGGCACCTGTCTCTACCCCCCCCCCCGCGTGTGTGTGTGTGTGTGTGTGTGTGTGTGTGAAACATCCACAAGTTTGGACAAAAGAATCATCTACTACAGCTTGAAATCAGTCGTCGCGCTTCCTGCCTTCAGAACGGAGTCCTTAACAACCCAAGCTTTGCCCTCATCCACGCAGTTCAAGCCCTCCAAACCCCACCTCTACCATGTTCTCCTCCAGCTGTCCCTCCGGCTCCACTGCCCTTGCTGCTGCTATTGGCTGCTGGTTACCATCCTAGTCAACTACCTCTTCCCCGGGCGGGGTAGATTGTGAGAGGGTTGGCGGTGGGCTGGGCAGTGAAGCTGGGCTGGTGCTGGTAGTGAGCGCAGGACCAGCTAGGGCCCAGAAATCCACCCGAACTCCAGGATATGGGTCTCGGTGCTTACCAGCTGTAATGGAGGTGCTGGGAGAGCCCACCGGTCCCTCTGCTCACCTCCACTGGGGCCTGTCTCTCCACGCACCTCTCAGACATCTCCTCTGGACCTTTCCCCTTCCTCTCCAGCAGCCTAGTGAGGCTGGGGCGCTGGGGCTGAAGAAAGGAAGTGGGCCTGAGCCCAGGCAGGGGTAACTCGACTCCCCAGGTCCAGCAGGCTGGGGGCGGGGTTGGGGGAGGACAGACATACCGCGGGGGAGGAGATTCTTTCAGGCCAGCGCTGGCGATGGGGGCACTGGGAGAGACAGAAGGAGCCACATGGAGTCCAAGTCCCCTCCTCTGCTGCCCCCTCCCTCTACTGCTCATTCGCAACCCGAGCCGGGGGGCCTAAAAATAGTCCCCGAGAGGCGCAACTGCCGGCGGCCCTGGTGACCTTCTGGGTAGCACAGGCCGAAGGCGGGCGGGCGGGCAGCAGGAAGGCCGGCCGCCGGCCCCATAGGACCCATCTCCTAAGGCACCATACCCCCCGGGGCGTCCCTCTGGTCACCCAGTTCTAGCGTCTCCGGTCCCCCAAGTCCAGATCACAGAGGCCATGCAGAAAGGCCGGGGCGCGCGAGGCGAGGACGCCGGCACGAGGGCACCTCCCAGCCCCGGGGTGCCCCCGAAGAGAGCCAAGGTGGGGGCCGGCAGAGGGGTCCTCCCCACCGGGGCAGGGGCCGGGGCGCCGGTCTTCCTGCGGCCCCTGAAGAACGCGGCGGTGTGTGCGGGCAATGATGTGCGGCTGCGGGTGGTAGTGAGCGGGACGCCCCAGCCTAACCTCAGCTGGTTCCGGGATGGGCAGCTCCTGCCCACACCGGCCCCAGAGCCCAGCTGCCTGTGGCTGCGGAGCTGCGGGGCACAGGACGCCGGTGTGTACAGCTGCAGCGCCCAGAATGAGCGGGGCCAGGCCTCCTGCGAGGCTGTGCTCACAGTGCTGGAGGTCAGAGGTAATGCAGAGGTGGGGCCTGCCTGGCAGGGCTGGGGGCACAGGGGTAGAGACGGCTGCCCAGGCCACGCGATGCAGGTTAAAGTCCCTCCCTCCCTCCTTCCTAGGTGCCCAGTTTTCTCAGCTGCGCCCACTCTGAAAAGGGCAGATCAACAGGGAAAGTGTGTCACAGTAGAGGGGCTTCCCAATGAAGGTCAGAGGTCAAGGGTCAGCAGTTAGTGGGCCTAGCCTGAGACCCACCCAGACCTCTTGGATGATAGTACAAAAGCTCTTCTTATCTAGCAGAAAGGAAACTCCCTGGGGAGAATTGCCCTCTTCTGCTCCAATGACAGACTTGAGACCTGGTGACCAGCCCCTCACAGATGTGTGTGTTCATCTGAAGGGGCCAATCCCCCTTTTTGGGGCCCGCATGGAAGGAGGGTGGCCAGATCTTCTCTCTTGAAGATTAGCACTGGGACAGGATGATGAGGTCAGGACCAGGCAAGGTGGAAGGGATCAGATGGGAATGAATAGGGTCCAGGGTTTCAGCAGATGAAACTAAGTCCAGACATGAGAAATGGCTGCTTAGAGTCCACGTGCATGTATGTGTGTGTGTCTCAGGGATTTGTGAGTTGTGGGAGGCTCTGGACTCTGGCGGTGTAAATACAGATATGTAAGAGGAGGGTAGATGGAGACGATATTGAAAACCTGTGGAGCATGTCTCCTGAGGTTCCCAGGTGAGTGTCCAGGGGACATGCTTTGGGCTGGTGTGAAGGCAGAGTTCTAGGTTGGTATACTAAGGCAGGAGGGGAGGGGCAGGAGCCTCCGTCTTGTAGCATGGTCCTCTTGTAGCTGGTGGGGGTGTCAGGCCAGGCTGATAGTCCTTGGGTCAGTTTTGGGGTTTCCTTTTTTCATTTTTCTGAACCACGTGGTTCTCTAAACCAAAGACAGTCTTGGACCTACCAAACTTTGAAAAACGGAATTCTGGGAGAGATGCAAAGGGCTTGGATGTCACCGTTCTGGTCATTTGCTAAGAGACACCTCATCCCACTCAGTGGTAGGATATAAGGGTCAATCTTTGGGATCTGGGGAGGAAGTCCAGCGATGAAAGACCCCCACCAACAAAGTGGAGGGGAAAGAAGTCCAAAGTGCCGGCAGGAGATGGACGTGAGGTGCCCTCCCCCAGTGTCTTCTCTCCCTGGCTTCACCCTGCCCATTTTCTGGAGTCTTCTTATAGTCCCAGTGGCCAGGCCTGGCCTGTAGATGGCCAAGGGTGGCTTCCATTTGGCCTAGAAGGTGCCAGTACAGACTTCCTTAACCTGGGCCTAGGGGCTGGAGCATGTTCTGGAAGCATTCTGAGCTGAAGGAGTCGATTCTTGTAGTTTTTTATTTACTTATAGTCTGGAGTAAAAGAAGCTGAAAACAGACTATAACTCAAAGATAAAGGTGGATAAATTAATACAACTGGGAGGAAAGAGAGACGAGGTCAGGAAAAGGAAAGACAGAGGAAGAGAGTGGCGGTCACAGGACTTGTTAGATGTTGGACAGGTCCATAGAGAACTGCCACTCTGCCGGGCGGTGGTGGCTCATGCACTTTGATCCCAGCACTCGGGAAGCAGAGGCAGGCGGATCTCTGAGTTCGAGGCCAGCCTGGGCTACAGAGTGAGTTCCAGGAAAGGCACAAAGTTACACAGAGAAACCCTGTCTCAGAAAACAGAAACAAAACAAAAAAACCCTGCCACTTCAAATGCTTCCCTGGACAGGTGAGAACAATGTGGGCCAGAGAGGAGGGACATAAGGGCTGGTTATAGCATGTCAGGACTGAGCATCCTGTTCGACCTTGGCGATCTTGGGGCCTCTCTACTACCCAAGATGTTCTGGGGGAGGGAAGGAGAGAGATTGTTCAGTGTCTTAGAAGGAGCTGCTAAGAAGTTGGCCTGGCCTGTCACCTGTGAAGATGCAGGCTACCTCCAAACCCCAGCAGGGATGTTTCTTTGATGCTTTTGAATCAGGGTGGCGGACTAGGCAGAGGTAAGCCCAGACTGGACTCACCTAGACATAGGGGTACAATCTCCCGGCTGGGGCCATCTTGGTGAAGAGCAGGGGGAGGGGCTTGGAGTGAAGAAAGGCTGTGGGGCTGGGTTTAAGGCCTCTGACATCCACATTAGACAGGAAGAGGGTACTGAGCTGAAGCATGTCACCTTTGAGAACATGACCACAAGTATAGATACAAGGTGGCGAAACAGTCCAGGCCGGGTGGGGGGCAATGGTTTCGGTGATGCTGGTGGGTAAGCGACATGAGTCTGGCTTCTGCCCCTTCTATTGCCCATCCCTCACATCCCTGCTCAGCGACAGCTCCTGGTCCAGGGAAGCCAAGCCAAGAGCTCAGCTTCATAGAAAACGCTCTTATTTGGAACCAACAGCACAAACATTCAAGGAACTTGAGGAAGCCAAGCAAGGACCTGGCTACAGAAGGAAGGAGTGGTTTCCTGGCCATGACTGCGTTCTGGCTGGGTGAGACAGGGTGATCTGAAGGCTCCTGGCGCTCCAGAAGCCTGAGATGTTAGTTCAGGGTGGAAGGGTCTTGGCAAGACTCTGGGAAACAAGTCTGCCTCAGGGTGGGAGTTTTGTAGGATGAGAACACCCAGGTGGTAAAGGTGCAGGTTTTGGGGTGTTGCGATAGGAAATAAAGGAGAGAAACTGGCAGAAACTCAGGATGCTGGTAAAATTCTTAACATGGATTAAGGGTGCTATCTCATTTAATTATTTAATCTTCCAAACTCTCTGATTATTATTTGGACTATACGAATATATAAGACAGCCCAGATTCCAAGGTATCCAAGGTTGAATGGCTAGTGAGTGAGGTAGCGGGGTTAGGTCTGGAGAGCTGGGTCTCTGAGCCTGGGTCCTCATTGCCTGTCCACAGAAAGAGAGGGGACGGCTAAGTGAAGAGCTTCTCACCACACCCACCTTTCTCCTGTCAATATCCCAGTCCTCCTCCAGCCTGCCTCACACACGGGTGGGCTTTCTCTTTGGAGGCATCTGGCTTCCATTCTTACATGGCTCCCTAGCAAGTGACCAGAACAAGTCAAATGGTACCCTCAGATCAGGGGGCATGTGTGGCTTAAGAGGAGCCCCCCCCCCCCCCGAGACAGGGTTTCTTTGTGTAGCTTTGGATTCTATCCTGTACCTCACTCGGTAGACCAGGCTGGTCTCGAACTCACAGAGATGTGCCTGGCTCTACCTCCCAGGTGCTGGGATTAAAGGCGTGTGCTACTGCCACCACCACCCAGCAAGAGGAGGCCTTCTTGCACTGCCAGGCAGGGGGTACAGAGCAGCTGAGAGAAGGGGCAAGCAGGGGGAGCTGGTATGTGTGTGTTAGCTGAAGCTTTATAGTGAGGATCTGAAGATTGATGTTAATCAGAAAGGCCAGTGGTCAACAGACGGCCAGGAACCATCCTGGACACTTGAAGTCATGGAAGGGAGAGGTTCGAGTTAAGATAGAAAGAGGGCAGTTTAGTCCAGGAAAGGAGAGGAATACAGCAGAACCCCGCCCCTCAGGAAGGACTGTTCTCTAGTTACCATCTTTCCCACCTGGACTTGGACTGTCTGTATAAAAAGCCACGAGAAACTACTGTGGAACTGGAAATGGGAAAAGAGGGTCACCATCCATGTGTGCATAGCACAGCAAGTGCCAATCAGAGAGAGGGGGAGGGGCCAGTGGGATCACAGAGGAACCCTGGGAGGGGAAAGAGAGTAGCAGAGAAGTCTCCCTCACGTTGTTGATCAGAGCAAGTCCTCCCTGAAGATCTGGGCAGAATGGGGGGTCGTCACTCCTCCAACAGTTTCTTGGGAACTAGCTGGGGTGGGACAGAGAGGAAGGAAAGGCTGGATGAAAGGGGCTGTTCTAGAAGATTCACCACCTGTTGTTCCCTACCGCTGCTTACCTGTCGCCTACCCGGGACTCACTCCCGTGTTTATCGAGTGTCTCCTATGTACCGGTTTTCTACCATTTTGGGTGCTTAGGGTACATAGCGGGGTGGAGGGGAGAGAACCAAAAGCTATGACCGAAAGCAAGGAGAGAGATAGTATGAGGCACCGTCCCCTGGACAGTAGGAGAGTGGCAGACAGGACGGTCATCAGAGGAAGGGAAAGAGAGGCTGAACGGAGGCAGGAAAGAGAGGTGGAGGGTAAAAGAGGGATGTGTGTGGCTCAGAGGAAGGTCTGCCAAGAGATCCGGGCAGGCAGCATCTTTTAGAGTCGTCCGTCCGTCGTGCCCCCCCCCCCCCCCCCCCCCCCCCCCCCCCCCCCCCCCCCGTCTCCCCCTCTCCCGGCTAAAGAGAAGGCTGGCGGGGCTGAAATGAGAAAGTGGCAGCCTAGCACAGATGCTCTGCCATGAAGAAGAAAATGGAGGTGGGGGGCGCCCTTGCTGCGAGTGATACCTCCCAGGCCAGTCCTTCAGGTTGCCGCGGACTCTCGGGGGCAGGAACACAAAATCCTGCCAGTGGCTCTTCGAGCCCAGCTGTCCCGTCACTCATGCCCGCCGCCCATTGGTTATTTTTGCTGTGGAATGTGCCAGCCCCTCGGATTCTCCCGGGGAACAGGGGTTCATGTTACCCTCTCTGTCCACTCAGCTCCTCCATCTGCAAGATGGTGTGTTTGGGGGGGTCTGGGGTCCTCGGGCTGGAACTAGTATGGACAGATAAATGTGCCTTCTCAATGCACATCTCTACCCATGAGTCTCCGTCTGTACCGTTGGCCATTTGTCTGAGAAACAAGGACCCCTGTATGTAGCCAGAATGTGGGAGGCAGGATCTTAAACTCCCCAGGTATGATGGTACGTACCTTTAACCCCAGAACATGAGAGGCTGAGTTTGAGGCCAGCCTGATCTACAGAGTGAGCTCCAAGCCCGCAAGGGCTATAAAGTGAGACCCTGTCTCAAAACAAAATAATAATAATAATAATAATAGTAATGATGATGATGATAGCATCTCAAATATGAACAACTCCAGGAGTCAGGTAGAAACAAAAAATGAGAGAGGTATTGTTGTCAACAGTTGAAAGTGAGTGTGTTGTCTCACCCTTAACCAAACCAAATTCATTGGGTCTGACTCTATTTATTTTAGTGCCAAGGTTTTTAAAGCAATAAGGTCAGGAGACACAGGGACGAACCGGCATACGGTTCTTTATGACATAATGGTCAATAACCTAGTCAAAGGCTCCAGCTCCCTCAATTTATTAGCCGTGCAACCTGGGACAAGTAATTGCTTTGTACCTCAGCCTTTCTCCTTATGGGGATTAATTGAGTTACTCACACAAAGTCCTCAGCATCATGCCTAGTACGGACCACGAAGGCAGTCCACGTTAATAATTAGTACTGTAGTCGTAGCTGGGGCTGGCACCACACCAGTGCATTCTGGGATGAGGAGACCTGTGGTGATACCAGTTCTCTTAGCCTCAGCTGCCTGCCATTTTAATGGGGATGGGAATACTCCTAAGAGTTTCAGGCTCCTGGGGTTGTTTTGAATGAACTGACTGACAGGTGTAAGGTGCCCGGTACTTGGCAAATGCTAATGAAACCTAGCTACATTGTTTTGACGAAAGGAAGGTAGAACTACTTTGTTTAGACGCAGTGTGTGTGTGCATGGTGCTGAATAAGGTGGGGTGGGCGTGGGGGGACATACTCAAAAATCTTGTGAGTAGCTCATTTGTGGGACTGTGAGTTGACTTTGATTATTAAGAATACCTATGAGCACCTTAGCCCGTGTCGTGTGTGTGTGTGTGTGTGTGTGTGTGTGTGTGTGTGTGGTGTGTAGATGGATGGATGGAGGGAAGAGGACAGTACAAGGAACATCCAGAAATTCGAGCCAAAGAGAGGAAAGCCCTTTTTTACTGTCCCGAGGAGCCTGGCTCCAAGTCAGCACGTAGCCCCAACCCAAGGATCTTTGTGCTGAGCATGACCCTAGGCGCCCCCACCCGGCGCTGTGGCTCCGAGGTGAGTCTGACCGTGTTGCCTGTGCGCATGTTTGCGGAGTACGTTAGCGAAGATGCTGTTGACCTTCCATAGCCAGCCTGCTGGAGAAAAGGGGGATGCGGCGAGGAGGCCGCCTCTCGCTGCCAACCCAAGTGGCCTGAACTAGAGGCTACTCCTGCACGCCTTTCTGTGCCTCAGTTTCCCCATGTGCCCAGGGTCCGAAAGGCAGATGCGGGGTGGGGGTGCCGGCTGTCCGCGCAGGGAGGTGTTCCGTGGGAGAGCTGGAAAGCAGGCGAGTGCTGCCCCAGCGTGGGGAGAAGGGCTCGCAAGGGAAGGGTCGCCAGGTAGGACTCAGGCTGGCGGAGGAGGGGCGGGCTCTGGGCGCAGCCGCCTTCGTCTTACCCCCACCCCGGCTCCCAAGGCCCGGCGGCTTCTT